CGATGGTATTTTAATGAATCAGCAAGACACTTGGTTTGTGTTTATGCCAGGAGTGCCTTTTGAGATGAAGCATGTGTTTGGTAATGCCTTAATGGCCATTGATTGAAACCGATTGGTTAAGTTTAATTGAATTTGTGCATCGTTTTGCATGAAAATCAATCCCCCAACATGGTATTTTTTAATCAACGATTCCACTTGAACAATATGCTCCTTTGATTTATTACTATACGCCGCTATCATAAACAATTGCCCCACTTTTTGCTTAAGTGTTAGCGATTCATAAACGCTATCCACCCATTGTTGGGCATGATTTTGACCAGATAGAGCATGGCCAAGTCCTATTATACATACTATTAAAAAGCGATGAATCATAATTTAGATTTTTACAAACATACAAATTGTTAACCCAAAATCCATGCTTGGTTATTTTGCATTCAACCATATCCCCTATGTCCCGTATTCTTAGGTTAACAATAAAAGGTTATTAATTAAAACATTAGTGGTTCTTTTAACGATGTCTTCTCTATCAAAATGCGGGAAAAATAATGTTTTCGTCCATTGATAATCGGCAGCCACAATGGCCACGCATACGGTTCCTACAGGAACTTTATCCACTGGTGAAGGCAATGGCCCTGCGGCTCCTGTGGTGGCAATGGTTACATCGCTTTTTAACTGGCGCTGCACCCCCATCGCCATTTTAAGGGCCACCGATTCGCTAACCAAGCCTTCCGACATATCCTCCGATGTCAACCCTAAAATAGAGGACTTTACCGATGCGTCATAAGCCACCACCGAACCTTTAAAATAGGCCGAACTCCCCGACAAAGCGGTTATTTGTGAGGCTATATACCCTCCAGTGCAACTTTCGGCCGTTGACAAACTCCATCCTTTGGATATAAACAAATTTTGCAAACTTTGTATGGCATTGTCTGAAAAATTCAAATTCAATGAATCCCCCAGCAACCCTTTTAATTCCAATAACAAAGTCTCAATGCTTTGTTCCAAATCAATTTTTGAATTTCCAAATGCCGAAAGTCTAAGTCTAACCATGGATCCTGCTGGTAAATATGCCAACCGAATGTGATTGGGCAAAGCATCTTCCCACGGTTCAATTCTTATGGCCAATGCGCTCTCTGGAATATTTTTAACCATCACCGTACGATGCACCCAAACAGGCAATTGGAACTGTTTATAAATCCATGGCATTAAGGCATTACCAAACACATGCTTCATCTCAAAAGGCACTCCTGGCATAAACACAAACCAAGTGTCTTGCTGATTCATTAAAATACCATCGGCTGTGCCTATTGTATTATACAAAAGGGTGGCCTTGGATGGTCGATACGCCTGTCGAACATTCAATGAATTCATTTTAGAACCCAATGCGGTAATTAAAGCGGTGGTTTTATCCAATGAAGCCTGATCCAACACCAACTCATCATCAAAATACTGGGCAATGGTCTGTTTGGTTTTATCGTCTTTGGTAGGGCCCAATCCACCCGTAATCAAAACCAAATCGGCCGATTGTTTGGCAAAATCCAGTTGTTTTATCAATGCGTTGGGTTCATCGGGAATGGAAGCCTTTCCCACTACGCTAATACCCAGCTTAGTAAGCGATTTGGATAGATACGGTGCATTGGTATCCGATACTTGTCCTATTAGGATTTCATCGCCAATGGTTATAATGTATGCTTTTATTTCGGTCATTTGAAGTATTTAATCTCAAAGATACTGAGAAATTGTGTTATCCATTTGTTTAATTATGCCCAATAAAAAACGCAACCTAAAGTTGCGCTTTTTTTATTTATCCAGCATTCCCTATTTGGACACCAAATCTACAAACTCTTCAAAAGTAACGTTTTTACGCCCCGATAAAGCTTTGTCTTTGAACAAATCGGTGATCTTATTATTAAAAACCATTTGAGATAACCGTTCGGCTTCCTGTTGATTTTTAAGGGCTCCGTCCACGATATAATTGATGTCTTCATCGGAAAAAGCATTTTGCCCATACATGGCCATTTGCTTTTTAACCATGGATTTAGCCTCTTCTATCACCTCTTGGGCTTCTATTTTAATCTCAAAATCACGGGCAATACAGTTTTGGATCAACTGAAGTTTCAAACCATTCTCCGATGATGCATAGGCTTCCTTGGCTTGATCTTCGTCTTGAATTTTATCATCCGAATAACGCAACCATTTTTCTAAAAAAGCTTTGGGCAATTCCATGCTTGTGTTTTCCAATAATAATTCGAGCACTCGATTGGAAAAATACCGATCGGATTCTTGAACATAAGAGGTTTCTATTTCCTCTTTAATTTTGGCTCTAAAATCCGCCTCCGAAGAAACAGTTCCATCACCATAGACTTTATCAAACAAGGTTTGATCCACCTGAGCGGGATTAATTTTGGATATCTCCTTAATCTCTATAGTCAGTTCATCATTGAATGAATGGGCCTGTTCATGATTTAAACCAAACGCCCCTTCCAATTGATGAGAATCTCGATATAAATCTTGGGCATTTACCGTTACCACATCGCCTACATTTTTGCCATTAAACATTTCGGGGGCTTTAAGCGCCTCCCATTTTAGATGAATTAATTTGGGTTCTTCTTGACCCTGATGCAATACCGACACCGAAAATATGGCTCCCTGTTCAACCGCATCCAACGATTGTTGTTGGCCAAATCGATTTTGAAAATTGGTCACAAACTCGGTCAATTGATCGTCGGTTACCGAAATATCCAAATAATCCACTTTGGATTGTTCCAAATCGACTTTGAATTTTGGAGCCAACCCACTTTCAAATTCAAATGTATAATGAAATTGTTATAAAAAACGGAGGGCAAAGATATTGCTTTGCCCTCATAAAAACCAACAATAATTTTAATCTTTCAGATACGAGGGATCCATTTGGAAATCCTCCATAAATTTAGTGGTATAATTGCCTGCAACAAAGTCGGGATGATCCATCAATTGGCGATGGAATGGCACTGTGGTTTTAATGCCTTCTATATAGAATTCATCCAATGCCCGACGCATTTTGGCAATGGCCTCTGTGCGGGTTTGAGCGGTAACAATAAGTTTGGCAATCATTGAATCGTAATACGGGGGAATCACATATCCAGAATACACATGGGTATCCACCCGCACCCCATGCCCCCCTGGAATGTTCAACGTGGTGATTTTACCTGGAGACGGTCTAAAATCGTTGTATGGATCTTCCGCATTGATTCTACATTCGATGGAATGCAGTTTGGGGAAATAATTTTGTCCCGATAACTTATCCCCTGCTGCCAATAATATCTGCTCCTTAATCAGGTCATAATCAATCACCTGCTCAGTAATGGGATGTTCCACCTGAATGCGGGTGTTCATCTCCATAAAATAAAAATTTCGGTCCTTATCCACTAAGAATTCAACCGTTCCCACCCCTTCATAAGCGATGTATTCGGCTGCCTTTACAGCGGCCTCGCCCATGGCCAATCGCAATTCATAGGTCATAAACGGCGATGGGGTTTCTTCGGCCAATTTTTGATGGCGTCGTTGAACCGAACAATCTCGCTCGGACAAATGACAGGCTTTACCGTATTGATCTCCCGCTATTTGAATTTCAATGTGACGGGGCTCTTGAATTAATTTTTCCATATACATGCCCCCATTGCCAAATGCGGCTGTGGCTTCTTGCACCGCCGATTCCCAAGCTTTTTGTAAATCTTCGGCTTTCCATACGGCCCGCATTCCTTTGCCTCCGCCACCTGCTGTGGCTTTTAGCATCACTGGAAACCCCGTTTCTTTGGCCACTTCTATGGCCTGTTCAAACGTATCAATAATGCCATCGGATCCTGGGACACAAGGCACCCCAGCTTCCTTCATGGTTTTTTTGGCCGTGGCCTTATCCCCCATTTTATTAATGTGTTCGGGCGATGCCCCTATGAATTTGATGCCATGTTTGCGACATGTCTCAGAAAACTTAGCGTTTTCTGATAAAAACCCATAACCTGGATGAATGGCATCGGCATTGGTGATTTCGGCCGCCGAAATAATATTGGCAATAT